TTTCCAGTGCGCACAACAGCTGATATTTACTGTTCCTAGTTATAAACAGATATCCTTTTTTTCCATTTCATTTGGCACGTTGTAGCTAGTTCACCAAAAATTTAGTTGATGCTCCACGAACGTGTTTTGTGAAGGAAAGCTAAGCCCTAGTGAGTTGGTGTCATGCTCCTGGAGGACTCAGAACTGATTTAATGGATAGGAGGATTCCGTAGAGGTCTCCAACCTGGTTCTGCAAGAGCATAAGCTTCTTCACATGGTGGTACGCAGCGGTTGGGATTTGACACCTCACTATGGTTTCTGATTATCCTTGTTTTCACTGGATAATAATTTCTTGGATGAAACTACTTATTGATGTAATGAATTCTTCATAATGCTTCCTTGAAATAAGTAGTCAGTCTCTTTGTTGAAGTGAGGAGTCGTATTCTTGATGCGTAAGGTGGTGAATTCGGTCCCATCAGGCTCAGGGTCGTGGCTGTGATGGCATCTCTGGGGCTGCCCCAGCTGCTTGCCAGGAGGCAGGCAGGCAGGGTGATGGAGAGGTGGGTGGGAGCAGAGGTTCTGGAGAGGTGCTTTTTCAAGTGGGACTCAGCTATGGAAGAGGGGGAGGAATGTTGGACGCTGAACGAGGTGGTGATCTGTTCCAGCATTACACCGCAGCAACTCGGAGCTGCAAACTGTCATGCCGCACCAGAGCTCAGTGGGGACTCTGCGGCGTGTGAGGTTACACGAAGCCTGAAGTCTTTGGGGGACTGAAACTGTACATGTGGGTAAACTGACACTGCCTCTGCTCCTGCAAGCATACAGCTCGAAATAGCTGTCTTGTGCGAAGCTCTGCAGAGAGTTTTGAATCTGTGTAAGAATTCGTATCATATCCTTGTTAAAGATATGACAACATCAAATGTTCAAATACATATGGGTAAGCGTTTATAAACATATTGCTTTTCCTTTTTTATAGACCAGTGTTCAAAGATAATCAGGGAAATGTTGACAGAGACTCCCGATTTTCACCTTTATTCAGGCAAGAAAGTAATAAGATTTCCATGGAAGACTTGATTAAATTAATAGCAGAATACAGAAGGTAAGGAACGGCTTTTAATTTTATTTGAGAAACAGTAAAAGGTTTATAAAGCTGTGCAGAATAATTTTCACAGCTTTTTTTCTTCATTTAACACAGAATGCCAAAGTGGTCATAATAAATCAGTGTTTTTCCCATTAGCCTTTTACCTGCCAAAGAGTGTTTTAGGTTGGACTTTCCAGGAAAACTGAAATGTCATTTGGCACATAAATAAACGTTACTGTAACCTAAAGATAGTGATTCCTTAAATTAGCTTTCATCAGGGAGAGGCAGGTGAAGTAACCAACAAGTGAACATTATCTCAGGGGGAAAAAAAGGAGGACAGAAAAAAAAGAGAGAGAGAAAAATGACAAAGCATACTTTAATGGCTTCCCTACTCATTACTTTTGTCTGTTTGAGTCTCCATGACAAACGGCAGAGTGAACACTGGAAGGAAAAAACTTGTCCAAATGTTGTGACAGTGTGTAAATTAGTGAATAGTGGTTTGGCTGGGTCTTATTCTACGCAGGTGTAAATCACGTTCATTCTAGAATGCAGTCTTTGTTTGTAAAGAATAAGTGACGAGAAAATTGAACCTTTAATTTCTTCCTGTCCCTTCTATTCTAAATATGTCTAAAATGAATTAATCTAATTAACTTCTCCTGTTCTATTTATATAAAATCAGATCATAGGAGGATTGAATTTCAACTACAGGCTCTTAATCCCTTGTGCCATCTGACTGTTACTGCTCAGGAAACTGTACTGAAATTCTCACTGCGCTGACAAGAGACCACTGCTGGGTTTGTCTGTCTAGACATCTCCTAGATAAAAGCAATTTAGCATCACAGATGTGGCATTCTCAATTTGCTTGGGCACAAGGAAAAGGTCTTGGTCCCTTTTCAGCACTTGCAGAAGCCACGATGCTGTGAACTTCTCTTGTCTCAGTGGTCATTAAATTCCTTTTAAAGAACATTTGACTCAGATCTTAGAAAGAAGAAGTGGGTAAGTTAATTCTCATAAGGTTTGGTTCATCAGTTTCTTCCTCTTCTACAAAATATACTGTGATACTGCTTGCAAAGGGAAGACACGAATGAGGCCAAGGAAGAAGGGGGAAATATAAACCCAAACCCTACCCCACTTCTTTCCTGCTGTTGTGTTTGATTAGAGTTTAATCACCAATAGGTGTATGTTAAATGTGGTTAATATATATTTGTATCTTAAATCAGGGTCTGTTTCTCATTTTAGATTGAGTCCTAGGATGAGCCTCATCTGCCTTGTTCTAATTTTCTAAAATGTTTTAATTTCTGTCATTGCAGAGCAGAGAAGATTAGCAAAATACAGACCATACCTGGCTGTTTGGAGATTGCAGTGGATTGTGTTCCTTTGGAACATCCAAGTATGATTTCACTTTATAATTAAATATAATAATTAAATAGGACACATTCTTAGGCTTTCCAGCCTTAATTGCTGCCTTGAGACAGTTCTAGTAGAAAAATGCATGCAGGGGAGTGTTCTTGATTTCTTGTTCTCACTTAATTACACCATTCTTTGTTTCCTTTAGCACCTGGCCAGATATACACCAACAATACAGAACACAACATGCTGAATCCACATGTGATGATAATCCAGGGACCATTTTGGCCTAAGGGATAAGGCCAAAGAGCTGACTGAACTTCTGTAGCTTGAATTCAAGAGCCTGGCACTCTTGATGGGCTGTGGTGCTCACGTCCCATACGTGCTAATTCATCGAGGTTGTGATTACCAGCGGGTTTCAGTAATGTTGACTAGATAGAGGACTTCATTCAGAGGCCACTCTGAATCTTAGCGACTGCTAAGACAGATGCTTCTAACTGGATCCTTTGGTCTCTTTTAAAATTTTCTGGTTTGAGTTCTGTTTCTGTGACCCAGTGATGCAAAAAGCTCAGGTCTGTCACAGTTCCTCTGAACTCCATCATCACACATCTTTATGCCATCTTCATGTGGTATTAGATAAAAAAAAGAGTTTCACTAACATTTCCCAAGCAGTTTTTGGAATTAAAAGAAACTGATACCTCAGAGTAGGCAAAATGGCCCAAAGTAGCTTGGGCCTAGTACTGATACCTGGCTCAGTATGCACTGTGGCCAAGTGAAAGTCTGGCTTGAAAGGGTAAATGCTAGTAAGGTGCCCAGTTCCTGTGGAAATTCAATGAAAATTCATTCACTCTAAAGAGTAATCACTTAAACATTTCATTGGTATGGGGAAAATTTGTCTTACTCTGAATAAGGCTGTAAAATCACTTACAAACTGTACCAGAAAGCCTGCATGCTGTAGATTCACTGAAATCTCCTTTAAAAGTCTTCTCAACCAGTTCTGCTAGAACACCTCCTTCCCACCCAAAATAATTCATACTAGGCTAGTGCTAAAATCCTTTATTGCCAAGAAAAGCCCCTGAAAAGGAAGTTCGACGAAGGTCTTGTCAAGAATTTAACGGTACGATTGTGTCTGTAGGGACTGACTACTCTGCTTTGTATTAGCATCAATTTGCATGAGGCAGCAGAAGTAGATCTTTATTTCTATATGACTTTATTTACTGGAGCTACCACAAGAGCTGGAGCCAGTAGTGTATCAGGGAGTGTTGTCTGACAGTGTTTAACCTGAAATAAAGCTTCTGTCTTTGCTGCTGCGTGGGGCGAAGCCAAACTCGCATAGTTCTAGCAGACAGACCAGACCTGCACGACTGGCTGCAGGAGCCTACATTTTCCAGCCCCCTTCTTCCTACTGTGCCTGCCTCATCTCAGGAGAGCAGAGATACACTCCACAGGCTCCCTCAGCTATTCATGACTCTTATAATTACTTACTGCCCTTTTTGTGTTCAGTTCAACACTACTTCTGTTCCCTTGTGCATCTTCCATGGGCTGCTGGAAGTGCAGGGTGTAGAGGGCACAGAAAAACTTGTGCAGAGAGGCCTTGGAGCTGCATGCTGATCCCTGGGTTGGTCCGTGCATTTCTGTAATGAAAACCGAGGTTAACTGAATAAAGATGGATGCAGTCAGAATGCTTATAATATATCAAATTTAAGGAGCAGCTGGCCAAACCATAAGACATAACTCATCCTTGTCCTTTAAGATGAGTTGCCTGAGATTTGCCCATTCAGAAAGCTGCCCATCTTTGTAGGCCAAGACCAGTGAGCAGAGTCCCCAAGTACTGGGACCGTAAGTAGTGGAAGTGCAAACCTCCAAAAGTTTGTGTGTGACCCTGAGTATCTCCACTGACCTACAGAGGAGTTTGTGTGATTATCTGCAGGGACCTGTTGCTGGCGTGAATAAACCTTCTGAAGGTGCTGGTCCCTTCTGGCTGACAAATGCCAGTGATTTGATTTAGCAGTTCCCTTTTGATGCTGCTAATTTTGGCTGGGAAAGACAAAAGTTTTCATATGTGGATCTTTCCAGCTAAATTCAGGAGCTGTGTCTGTTGGCTGGGTGTGCGAGTCAATCGGACACATCCATGTTTCTGTGGGCAGCAGAAAGTTTTCCATGTCTATTGGAAAGGAAACAGAACCTCCCTGCTATCGCTGACACAGATGCTTCTCCCTGCCTGCTGGGGCTGCAGAGGACCTGCCGTAGCCTGAATCCAGCAACCTCCTCTTGCACTAGTTTAGAGGGAAGTGAAATCGGGCATAGCGTATACATGGGATCACCAGCTTCTTCCAGCTTCCTCACCACAAATCGCTGTGCTTTTCCTGTGGATTCCGGTAGGGTATGAGGAATGTATTTGTAGGTGGGATGTTCAAATTGCTCTTCCCAGAAATAGCTCAGGACATCCCTAAGTTGGTGATCCAAACCTTCTCAACTGCTTTTATGCAAACATCCTTTGATTCTCCATGCTGAAGTTAAATGTGTCACTGATTTAATGGCACGGACAGACAGTATACTGTGTACACTTTTAATCTCTCCCTGTGACTTTGCTGTCTGGGTGACAGTGTCTTTTTACATCTTCTCATTTCAGTTATCCAGATTGCATCATATATTTAATCTAGTTCTGCATTACTTGTTTCTTCATTTCATTTACTATGCTATTAGATAATACAAATCTTAAATGAGATATTGAGTTTTAAAATTAATTAGAAACAGCATCACTTCAATATATTCTGTTGAAGCTGTCTGTATAGCAAAGGTGCTTTTGTGCCATCAAACACCATGAAATACTGAGTGTGTCAAAAGAGCTTTTTCAGTTCTGTACTGTTTGGCTCAAGTGAGATAAACCATTTAAGGATGATATTTTGTCATTGTTCTGAAGTAACATGGATGCAATTTAAGGCAGGATTTTACCTGTTGTATCTCAGCATTATTTATTCTTTGCAAGTTAAGGCAGGATTTTACTTGTTGCATCTCAGTATTACTTATTCTTAGTAGTAAGACTGAAAATAACCCAACCCAGTATGTGATGGTTTTCTTTTCTCTTCTTTTGAAGACTGTGTAACTTCATCTTTTATTCCAATCAAGCCATTTAATGACATAAAGGAGCATCAACCTACAGTGGAAGTTGAAGAGTTTGTACAGGAATCCACAAAATATTCTCGACCTTACAGAGTATACAAGAACCAAATATACATATATCCAAAACACCTCAAGTATGATAGCCAAAAATACTTCAACAAGGTACAGTATGTAACCAGCTCAGGCCAACATGGGGTAGATGTGTACTGCATGAGCTATCATTGAGATGAAAGAGTACTCGTCGTTCGGAAGGGGAAAATGGTGCTGTGAGTCACTGACTTGGCTTTTTGATCTTTTTCCAAATTCTGCAGTCATAAAGCATTGGTACACTTGTAATGAAATTAATCTGTCGATTGATTTTAAGTTGTATCAGTGATTCAAAGAGATAATGTGGTAATAGCTGTTTCACAGTCTTGAAGGGCTGTATTTCAATGAAATTATGTGTGCAGATAGAATTGATTTGGAGAATATTTGTAGTTTTTAAATGACTCTTAAGCAGTACTTGCATTTTCATGGTGATTGAAAATTAATTAAGGACAAGACGCAGGTAGGCTGTGGTCACTATATAACCTGCGTCTATAAAGTCAGTTTGGGGCCTGGTTTCCATCTTGCCAGTTCTTCTTGGAAATACTATTCCCAGTGGTAACACTGTGACTTCGTGGTGTTTTGTTATCCACCATCTGTATGTTTCCCCAAGATTTTGAAAAGACCTTTCACCCCTCATAGTTTGCCTGTGTTTTTATGGTCGCCCCATTTCTGATCTAAGCTTTAACACATTCCTGTTTTTTTCAGGCACGGAATCTAACCGTGTGCATTGAATTTAAAAGCTCTGATGAAGAAGGAGCAAAGCCACTGAAGGTGAGCCACAAGAGTGTATTCAGAGAACGATGTTTCTGAGGATATCACTTTAAAAGACCAGGCATCAAGACTGCACTAACCCAGAACACTTAGAGTGGATGTTGTCGTGCATCTTTCTAAATATGCACCGTGGTTCTGTTTGTTCCCAACTGGTCATCATGATTCCAGCTCAGAGTGCCATTTTGCAGTGCCAGCTTTCTGACTGGTGGCAGGGAAAGAAGAGAATATTAGGGAACTCACCATTTTAACAGTGTGACTTGCTTATTCTAAAATTCACCATTTAACCCAAGTTTCTCACTGAGCTCAGGACACTTGGTTGGAGAGAGTGAGGCACAAATTCAGAAGAACCTTACATTCTTCTTAACTTCACTGTTGACCAAGGGCTATTGCACCATTGTTGTACTGTAGTTTCCCCACCAAAAAGTAAAGCTGCCATCACTCAATAATCAAGAGCCTCCAGACTGGGCTCTGCCAACAGGGAGACTGTTAACTAATGTAGCTTTTGTAACGTGGAAAGTCAGTGATGGCGTTGTATTGTGTACTGAACTGCATAAAAGTGACATAGCTTTTGTAAAGCTTTTTGCAAAAAACTCTGAAACTAGTAATAGCAAGGAAGAAGTCTAAGGAGTCTGCACTGTTTTGTAGGTCATAGGGGAATTTTGACAGGATCGATGGACTTTTACTGGAAGTGTGTATAAAAGTTGCAGGTTTGAGCACTTAAAATGTTTGTTTTAATATTTGATCAAAGTAATTATCAATCTTTCATGGTATTGTTTTCGATGTGCATACATATTAGATATACCAGGACTCGTATCATCAGCAGAATTTCACAATGTAATTAAAGCATGTTACTTTTATCAGTGTATTTATGGGAAGCCGGGTGGACCATTATTTACGACGACAGCCTACACCGCTGTGCTCCATCATTCCCAGAATCCTGATTTCTATGATGAGGTCAGTCTGCTTTTTCTTTCATTAAATGTCTGCCAATCCCATACATTAGCCACTGACACAGAAAAATATGTGTAAAGAATACTTCTGTTAAAATTGCTTGTGTGTCTGCATGAGCCCGTGTTACGTAGATATACACACAGTCTCACGTTCTGCTATTTGTGATTAAATCAACTCAGTGGGCACTTCCTTTTGTAAGATGTTTTGTGTGCGGTTAAGATGCTGTTGAATTAATTAGGAACAGTTTAGCTCTCTGAGATGTATGTCTGGGTTACATTAAGGGTCCAGCTGCGTCTGAATATAGTGGCAACGATACACATTAGGATGAAGGGTAGAGCCAAATGTCAGAACAAATCCCTCTCTGAGATCTCAGATCCCCATTGGGGTATTTTGGTTGATCCAGTGTCTGAACAGAGTGTACAGTGGCATGTAGTGGTTCAGCAAGTCATTTAGCTGGTGCTTTTGCAGATGCAGTTATAGAATTGTGTTCATATGTTGCCTTTGCCAAATGTTAGTTGCACAGGCGTCTTTACATTTCACCAAATGCTGGTTCCCCAGACTTTCTGCAGGTGAATGTAATTTCACCCTTTCAGTGACTAGTCTGTTTGATGGCCAGTGAATGTCACCTAAATGTTCTGGAATTTCCACTGCTGCTTTATGTGTAGTGATGAGGCTGGCAAACAGCAAACCCACTGTTTTCCAAACTGTTGCCTTGATCTTGGAAAAACTTCCTTTTTCAGTTAAAATTTACTCTGATAAAATGGCAGGGGCAAGACCAGCAGATAACATACAACTACATGTGAAATGTCAATTTAAGATTCATGGTTAAGAACTGAGGTGGAACATAAAGCGTTCCATCTTCAGAGATCTTGAAAACACACACACACCCCTTCCTCCCACCGCCCCTGACTACTCTTTGGCAAGCAGTGTTTTGGGCTTTAATACATCTGAAAATGTCCTTCCTGTGAAGCTAGTGAGCCATCTGGTTTGGGCAGGTTACTTTCAATTGGAAGGAAGAGCTGAATTCTGATCTGAATAGCTTATTCGACTGGAAAAGGTGTGCCCCTGTCCTAAATGTTCCTTGTACAAGTGCAGTCTCTAAAAGAATGTAGTATGTTATCAAAAAAGTTGTCTGAATGCCCATTTCATATCTATATTTATGGTATTAGATTCTTACCCATAAGCTGATTTAACACTGGAAGCATTTATCAGCCATTTCCAAACCTTGCTTTAAGCGTAGGATTAGTTTGGATGAATTTTATCAGAGCTCACAAGGGCAAGGGGTCTTTTACATTAGTTCCTATGGTAACAGGTTTTGATTACTTTGTATTTTTGTTCCAATAGGTTAATAATACCTCAACCCCAATCTGTAGGGATTCATGGATGACATGATACAGGATTTAAGACTGACCAGAAATCGTAAATAAAAGTCTATTTTCATGTCAGCCTTTATTGCTTGGTCTTTGCCATGAAACAATGATTAAAAGGTAGCAGAGATGTGATTTTAGTTTCTGGCTTGCTCATCCTGAAAATATGAGAATTCTGATGGCTGTTTATGATGGCTGCTAGATTGGAGGTGATCACTTTAAGCAGGGTCCATCGCTCTAGTTCTGTGCTCTTTCATCTTACGCTTTTTCATCACAAATGCAAATAGTCACCCACAGAACACAGAGGGGAAAAAATGTTTTAAGTAAACGTGATGGATGACCATCTTAAACAATTTCCTTATGAGAGCATCTTTACCCAAGCAGCAACAGCATCACGCAGACAAACATTAGCCAGTAAAGGCAGGCTGTACTTAGACCTCTGTGTAGAGAGAGATGTCACTCATTTAGACCATCTCTGATGCCTGGTTTAATCAATTTTTAAACTAAAGTGAGGTGTAACATTTTACATTTCAGGTGAAAATTGAACTTCCCACTCAACTCCATAAGAAACACCACATTCTGTTTTCATTTTATCATGTCACCTGTGACATAAATGCAAAAGCTAATGCCAAAAAGAAAGAGGCTCTGGAAACACCAGGTACCTGTAGTAGAATTACTTTCAATTATAAATATAAATGATGTACGTTCAAATAAGGATTTCAGAATTTCTGGCTGGATGTTATTGTCTTCCTTTGAACTTGAGAAGCTTCTTTTTCCAATACCATGCTGACATGTTCTTGTGCACAGTGGGATACGCGTGGCTTCCTTTGTTGAAAGATGCCCAGTTAGCTTCCCAAGAACACAACGTGCCAGTGGCAAGCAGTCTGCCTCCCAATTATTTGAGCCTTCAGGAACCAACTAGTGGAAAGGTATTAATTCATACTTTTAAATTATTCGAATGGCACAGAGCATTTATTTACGGATGTTTTACATGAGAGAGGTTTGCAGTTGCATTTACCTGGGTTTAGACTATTCATGTGCATATCATTGAGTATGTAAACTAATAGATGTGCCACTGAGCTGCGAGCCATAGGTTGCCAATTCACAAGTGTATATGGAAAAAGTGTATTTTATAACTGTATATTCTACAATATTGTACCTAACTTCTCAGAAACCTGAATGGGAGCAGTCTAAAAGAACACTTTTCACAAACTCAGGCCATCTGACATTTATTCTCCAGCTGATACGATCCACGATCATGATTCATTCTCCAGCTTTGTGGTGTGATATTGCATTTTCCCACTGATCCTGCCCAGTTTGGGTTATTTCTGCCTCCTTGTGTTCGTATTACTATCGTCGTGAGGGCAGAGTGGGTCAGTGATGTGGTCACTTGCAGGATAACGTTCATGGGCTCGTGCTGAAAAGTGGGTTTGTGTTGTGCAGGTTCTCTACTTGTGAATGCACAGTGCCAGCACAGTTCATGCAGGCACATGTGCCAAGCTGCACAGTGAAAACTTGATGAAGACTTGAAGAAGTAAGAAATAAGTGGGAAAATGTTTTTGTTTTGTTTTAATAGCAGATCGGCTGTGATGTAAAATGGGTAGACAGTGGGAAACCACTTTTCAAAGTCTCTACTTTTGTTGTATCGACAGTAAATACTCAGGTAAGCTGAATTTCTTCTTAGCTCTGTTAACCTGCTTACAGACAAAAAGTGCGAAGGAACATCTGAAAGGGGTTTTCAGATATTGCATGAAATTGTTTCTCTAACATTTCAAGGTTATTTGAATGTAGAAGTGGAAGATGACAATGATGGAATACACACTTTAAGGAAAAATATAAATTATTTAAGATTATACCAACAGAAAACTTGTGTAATATCAGTTTAAACAGCAAGAAAATAAATTGTGAGCATCCGGAAGAAAAAAAAAAAACCAACCCTTGCCATTGAAATCCCTTAGATTTTGAGGAAAAAACTAATTGTTCACAACACTGGAAATGAGGCATCAAAGCACCTAAAAATATGCTGTGTATAGCAAGCTGTGCTGGCCAATGGGTTGGGCTAAATCAGCTGATCTGCCTCTGTGTCGCAGGCGGTAGGAGGCACGGCTGTTCTGAGGTATCACAGGTAATGAAGCTGAATTCTAATCCTTTCTGTAATGTACATTAAAGTGAATATTTATCATTTTAGGACCCATACCTGAATAACTTTTTCCATCAGTGCCAAGAAAGGGAAAAGGATTTATCCCAGCCTCCTACCTCAAACTTTATCAATTCTTGTAAGGTAAAGTAACCCGCAGACGGAACTGTGCTCTAAAATTGTTATTTAGAGCTTTTCACTCAACTGCATCTGCCCCATCGAGTTCATTAATCCAGCCTATGCCAAGTCCCATGAAAGGATGGTGGAATGTCACCCTGTTGCTCTAGGAATGTCTGGGAGAAGGAGCTGTAGGCTGTAGAGCTGCCGTATTCCTGCTAGTCCTTTCTTGCCTCAGGTGTATTGTGTGCTTACCTCCTACCTGGCTCTTCGTTACTCTCACTCTTGTCAAGGTTCAGCCCCAGCCGACAACTAAGTACAATGCAGCTGCTTGCTCACCCCACCAGAAAAAAGCAGATTTTATAAAGCTGCTTGGGAAGAGAATTTGGCCTTTATAAGTGAACAATAAGTTCCAATAAATTAGAGCAGTTGTCTGGGCAAATCCCTAAAGGTGACTACTACTTTTGATGCTAGAAGCAGGTAGACCATAAAGGGGTTTCTTTGTTTTTAAGTACTGCCTTGAGCTAAACAATTAAGGGATGTTTTCAAAAATCAGAGCATCAGGGTTATTTAGAGGTTATACCTCTACAAAATGAAATCCTTAGCTGTGAATTTTTGGGAAGCCATTGAGTATACTGGACAAATCCATAAAAGCTTCTACAAATTTCTAGTCAGTCAGTTATCTAAACAACCAGAATTGCACTGTTCGTTTATTTGCTGTTTGTAGGTTACCTTTTAAAAAGTTTCAGTGATTTTATTAGAAAATAGAGACAATGTTGTATGTGGCAAAGGATCGAGTGTGGATATGGTATGGATAATCAAGGATTAAGTAATTTTCCCCACTGTTTTGTTTCTATTTATAAACCACTAATACCTTTGAAGAAATTCTGGAATTATTTGGAAATTACTTAAATGAGAAACTAGGAGGACTTCAAAGCAGGTTTTTAACATAAAAACTTAATATCCTCCTTGATCATAGAAGATAATATAAAGTCAGTCCAGTCAGGTTTGGCTGTTAATACTACTCTTTATCAGTGTGTTTTCAACATAAATATTTTAGCCACTACAAGTTCAGTGTGTGAGATCTCCACATAGAAAGAATAAGTTTTCCTAAAAATTTTGGGAAACACATGTCTTGAAAATAATAATATTTTTTTTTATTGCTCTTATATCTGTATCCTTAATGAAATATGAAAATTGGGTTTGGTTTCTCGCTCTTCTTAAGTCAGTGTAGGGCAAAATACTGGACTTCTGAAATTTGGACCATACCTACAGCTGTGTTGATGGTCCTATTTAAAACAAACTCCACAAGGAACTGCTCCTCCACTTAGTTGTCCTGTTTTCCTACTGCTGTTACAGCAGTGATTGTGCTGCCTTTCACCTGCTGAAGGTGGGAAGCAAATAATCAGTTTTCAGTGCTGCTATTGGAAATCTCTCATTTTCTTTATGTCCGTTACAGAATTTGCTGAGGATCGAGAAGATTCATGTAATTATGAATTTTCTTCCCATAGTCCTGAATCAACTATTCTGGGTTTTGGTGCAAAACAGCGATGATGAAGTTACAACAGCTGTGACCAGGTATCTGAATATTTTCTATATGAGGAAAGGAATTTGCTCTGGCATTCAGATGTAGATGTTAGTCCAATTACATCTGATCTTATAAAGGTTGACTCTGGCATTTAGACTTTAGTAGGTGAGAATGCCTGCTTCCCCCTTAACACAGGGCTCTGGATGCATGGAAGAGCACACTATGTGTGGCTGGCTCTTGATACCAATGAGGAAGTCATTGACCAAAACAGACGTGCCTCTGAACCCTGAGGCAGTTGTAGGTAAAGCTCTCATTCCTAAGGAGCTAAGTGCTTCCTAACAAAGCTGAATATCAATTTTGATTTATGTTTGGTTCTGAGAATGTGGAGTTCAGCATAGGAAGAGCTTAGCATCTTGCAGCATCCATTGCAGAATCAAACAATCAGGTCACACTGTTCTGGGGCATTTTTTAATTAGAGTATATTTGCAATAACTCAAGAACAATGGAAGCGTTTTCCAGTGAGCAGGCAAACAACTGGAATGATTTGCTGAGCCTTTCACCCCTCACATAATGAAATTGTCTTTATTGATGCTGTTAATTAGGACAGCAGGAAAAAAATATTGAGAGTGTATTATTGGTCTCTGCAGGAGGTCTCAAAGTTGCACTGCATTTTCTTTTGGCCATAGTGGTGTTTCTGTTGCGCTTCTACCAGTAGCTAAACACGGGGGGACTACAGTAGTAGGAGAAAATGACAGCTGTCCTCAGCAACCCTGCTAGACTAATCTGCTGTCAGCACATTTTCTTTCCACAGATTTTTCTTCACAATTAGTTCCTGCAGAAAGATTAATTAGGAAAAATTAAAGAAGCAAAGATGCAGAATTCCTCATCTTGGCTTTGGAAAGCTAGAGTTTCGATGTCCTTTTTCAAAGGATCATGGCACCTTGCAGAGCCAAATCCAGTTTTACCACACCTGGGTACTAGGATTATTAGAAGAACCCTTCCTTGTAAATGTGTGGGATTTCATCACTGCATACTGTTTTCAAAGGGAGAGGGGCAGTCAGACCTTTGTGCAGGACCCCTTTATGGGCAACAAATCAACTGGTGTTAAGGCTAGGTGAGAAAATGAAGAATCTGTCCCAGTCTAGAGTTTCAGTGACAGTTAACTGACTGGGAAAGAAATGCTGTAGGAGAAGCAGCTGTGTAAAATTTTGTTTTAATGATTAGATGGAAAAATGGAAGGATGCTAATTTTTTCATGCTTCATATTTCAACTATGCATCCACCTGGCCAAAAAAAAAAAAAAAAAGAAGGATTCTCACTGTTTTTCCTGAATGTGTGGTAGCTTTCGTGCCAGTAGAGTTGATGTCAACAGCAATAGGCATGTCCGCTGTGCATGGCATTCATTGATGTGTCCCTTATATACACACATTGTATTTTGTTCTGAATAGCTTGAAGCAGCTTGTGTTGAGCATCCCGAAAGCAACAACAACAGAATGAAAACATAGATTGGCTGATGTGTTGGGCACAAAACATCATCCCTTTTATACTCTCATGCTTATTTATTTGTCTGGGAGCCCAGTCATGTCATCACTTCTCTGTCTTATCTTTGCCAGGACTTGTTTCAGTTTCTAATCAGAGTAAAGGCTGAAGGATCAGAATGGGCACAACTAATTTGGTCGTAGCTTTTGTGTTTTGGTACAAGCTTGACTTCCCCTAATAACAGCAAGAAATGAGGTCTAGGAAAAAATACTGACTTAAAAGACTTACAAAGCTTTTGAATCCAGTGATAAGAATTGGCAGAAAACACTCAAATCGCCAAGCTAGTTGTAATGACTACTTGTATGTGGACCACAGTCAGGTGTATACTTGTTGGCTTATCTGTGTACTAATAATGCACTTTAATTATGCTGTTATTATGCATGCCCTTGAATTTGAGATATGGTTTGCCCTTTTTTTACATCTGAGAATTGTGAACTTTCCTCCTTATTCTTTCAGTGTAAAAATAAGAATATGAAATTATAGAGAGTTTTGTATAGTAAGTATGCTGAAAAAATGAGGTCCCAATAATTGCAGGAAATCTCACGGTTAAGTTGATGAAGACGACTTGCTCAGACTTGTGTTTTCTGAAATAGTGTGATCTCAAACGAAAATGGCCAAGGTACAAAATAAAGAGAAAATTTCGCTGAAACACTTGTTCTTAAGCAGTGTCATCTCTGTTGTTAATAGAAGCAGAGGAGTGAGAGTGGGTGCCAGCAAGCCCCAAGCAATTTTTTTCTGTGTGGCTGATCAACAGGCTGATCTAAAGAAGCTCAAAGCATCTGTGGTTGCAGCAAGTGTCCACCCCCTCCTCGCTGCACAGTAACGAGAGGGTGCTGTGCTCGGCCTCCTGCACCCGAGTCCTTGGGCACTCCGGCAGGGTCTGAGTCTGAGGTGATGGTCAAACCAGGCAGGAGAGCCCCATGTGCAGGCTTGAGCCTAGGCTTGTGTTTATCCTTGATTAATACTGCCATCATAAGCAAAGGATCAGAGCTTTACAGAATTACCCAGATCTGAGAGAACCTGACAAGTAACATTCCCAGAGAAAGAGGCTCTTGCCTCCCAGTTTCATTAACATACTCTAGTTTTTCCTAATCATCCAAGGTTTGCATAAGCTTTGGTTAGTTAATAGTTTTCTTTTGTTGTGATGTCAGTAGTTATAACCATTAAAACTGGGTGCAGTTGGTTAGACAAGTGCATACACGTCAGCATGATCCCCGCAAGCCCAAGGAGTGACCGTTTTGCCCAGTGGGACAGTCTCTGCTCCCACTGTTCATTATTCGGATCACGTTCCTCCTGGACTGTTCTAAATGAGCATGCAGTAACAGAACAATGTGATGCATCAGATGGACTTTCTCTGCCTTATGACACGAAACTTCTCTTATCTTGCAGGGTTCTCACTAACGTTGTTGCTAAGTGCCATGAAGAACAACTAGACAACTGCATCAATTCTTATGTGACGGTATGATTGCTGTTATACTGTTAACAATTTGGGGTTGTTCCTGTTTCCTCTTTGCTGTATTTTCTTGCAGTTTTCCCTGCATTTCCATGTTATAGCTTTCTGTCACTGATAGGCTGGGTGAGTGGTTAGGAAACTTAACACAAGACTCCGAAGAGGAGGCTGAGTGTTATGCATGTACAGGGTTGCCCTCACTGTCGTTGAAAATGATCCACAAGTGGTAACTTTTATGGAAGAGGCACTTCTGGGTGTTCTTCATGGTTGCAAGATGGCTGCATGCTTCTTAGGAAGCTATAGCTTCTTAACAGCTTTCGATTATTTTCTTCATTTTCTTTAAATGATTTTAGTTTCAAGATCCTGTGTCTTTGCGTATGCTGTTTTACATAAATTCTTTTCTCGTGTGTGGAGTTCAGATTTTTGTAGCTGTGCCCTGTTTAGTCAGGTTTTTTTCATCTATCCTATCAATAGTATATTTGGCTAACAGTTTTATAAGCCTTAAAGATCATCCAGTCCCCCCCCCTGCCATGGGCAGGGACACCTTCCACTAGACCAGGTTGCTCCAAGCCTCATCCAGCCTGGCCTTGGACACTTCCAGGGATGAGGCATCCACAGCTTCTCTGGGCAACCTGTCCCAGTGCCTCCCCACCCTCTCCGGGAAGAACTTCTTCCTGATATCCAATCTAACCCTCCCCACTTTCAATTTAAACCCGTTACCCCTGGTCCTGTCACTACAGGCCCTTGTAAAAAGTCCCCCCCAGCTTCCTTGTAGCCCCTTCAGGCACTGGAAGGTGCTATAAGGTCTCCCCGGAGCCTTCTCTTCTCCAGGCTGAACAAGCCCAACTCTCCCAGCCTGTCTCCATGGCAGAGGGGCTCCAGCCCTCGGAGTATTTTTGTAGCCCTCCTCTGTTAAACTTTGAGGTTCACATGGTCCCCCCTCTCAAGCCTGTCAGGGTACCTCTGGATGGCATCCCTTCCCTCCAGGATGTCACCGCACCACACAGCTTGATGTCATGGGCAAACTTGCTGAGGGTTAACTCACTCCCACCTTCCATGTCACTGACAGAGATGTTAAACAGTGCCAGTCGCAGTACTGAACCCTGAGGAACGCCGCTCATCACTGGTCTCCACTCAGACATTGAGCTGTTGACCACAGCTCTCTGAGTGTGGCCATCGAGCAGTTCTTTACCCACCGAGTGGTCCATCCATCAGGTCCATGCCTCTCCAATTGACAGACAAGGATGTTGTGCCAGACGGTGTCAAACACTTTTTACAAGTCCAGGTAGATGACATCAGTTGCTCTTCCCTTATGCACCAACACCATAACCCTGTCATAGAAGGCCACCGTATTTGTCAGGCACAACCTGCCCTTGGTGAAGCCATGTTGGCTGTCACCAATCACCTCCTTGTTTTCCATGGACCTCAGCATCGTTTCAAGGAGGATCTGCTCCATGGACTTGCCAGGCACAGAGGTGAGAGTGACCAACCTGTAGCTCCCTGAGTCTTTCTTTTTTTGTCTTTTAAAAAATGGGGGTTGTTTTTCCCCTTTTCCAGTTAGTGGGAACTTCACTGGTCTGGCACAGCTTCTCAAAAATGGTGGATAGTGGCTTGGAAACTTCATCTACCAGTTCTGTCAGGACCTGCAGGTGTATCTTGTCAAGTCCCATGGACTTGTGCACCTTCAGGTTCCTTAATGGTTTTTAATTAAAGAATACATTAGCTGCTGTTAGTGGCATGGACAGCAAAATTAATAGACGAAGGAACCTCATTTAAGGGTGCTAGACTTCTTTTTTTTCTCCTTCACTTGCCTTTGGTTTTTTCTCCCTTTTAATTGGAGGGGAGAGGGCTGGAAAATTTGGTTCTAGTCTTAATAGATGAATCAGTAATGAGTAAGTTGTAATATCTTGGAGTGGTATGTTTATTACCTTATTTGTTTGTTTCAAATAACAGCTTAGAGGAGAACTGGAGGTTGTTAGAAGAATTGAAGTCGATATTGCCATCGCTTTGTTTCTTGGCCTGCTTTGGTTCAGTGGTGACAGCACTAGTGCAGGTCATGGTAGCAATGAGAAATCGCCCACAGTCGTGGAAAGAAGCCATGAGTGACAAATGTCTGTGTGGGCTTTTGACTGTATCGATACCCTGATTCACTGTGCAACAAGTAGTTTTCATAATGTATGTTTCTTTTGTGGATTATGAGTAATATCTTTGGCATAAGTTGGGGGGAGGGGGTGTTAAATTACCTTTAGGAATAAAGTGAAAGCAAATACATTCCTGATGACCTCTGAAACTTTAGCATGTTCATGGGTAGAATAATGAAAATACGGTAGGAGTTAGGTTACTAAACGGGAAAACTGTTTTAATGCCAGTGTTGACAACTGTTGGTTGATATGTCCATGGCATGGATTAACTTTCATACTTCATGAAAGTATGTGTTTACGGGTGATGAGTCTCAGCATTTTAGTACCCAATTTTTAGTCTCAAGTACTCTGATCTAAGGACAGAGGAATTCTGCTGAGGTCCAGCAGAACTGTTCAGGCTCCAAAATGAATGACCTATGCAACATTTAAATGTAGTTAATTAAATGCATATTAACAACTCTTCTACTCAGTGACTTTTCAGAATTGCAATAGGCACCAATTGTGCTTAAATATCTTTGAAATAACAGCTGATTTTTAGACCACACCAGAAGTCCATTTAGCCTGTTTTCCTGTTTCCAGCAGCAGACAGAATCCAATAACTGTTAATCTCTTTTATCCCTCTGTAAGGAAATGAATACCTACTGCAGAATGCTGGTTTGGGAATAAATAAATTGAGAATTGTGAGTCACTCAGATACAATAATAATGTGAAATTACACCGACTTAAATAACTGGATCCAGAAGTGTCATACTGCATAAGGAGAAATTTATGGCATCTGCTCTGGAAACAAGTCTGAATATTAATAAGCTATTTTCAAGTCATATTCCTTTCTTTTACCTACCTGGTTGGATTGAAAAGGCATTTCATCCCAGCTGGTGCACTGGCAGAGCTCTTGCTTTAGGGAAGGAGTAATGGATCCCAGTACCAAATTATTAGCTTAAAATGTTGAATAAAATTCATACTAGATTTATGAGTTCTGAGCAACTTGGTAGATAAATTTCTCTCTTGAGGGTTTGATTTCTAGAAGGGGTATAGCCTTCCCCTTCTGTCACCTCCAGTGGGTGCTCTACGCCTTCCAGGATGAAGAGTTGCTACCAGCTCTGACTGGCTGTTGCCACTGGAAGAAAGGAGCAAGTGAAAGGTGGCCCTGATTAGGTGGGTCAAAAACCCTCCGTACTTCCTCTCCTTGCTCATTCTTTTTTTCCCCTGATGAAATGGCCTGAAAGGCAGTTAGAGGTTTCAGGAATGACCTGTTGAAAGAATAAATCTAGCCCTGATTTTAAGCAGAAATTCCTCTTGGTTCCCATTAAGCTGAAATCAACAGGGAGCTGTGTTTAAAGCTGGGATTTTGTAGGGAGTAGTGTTGTGCCATTACTGCTAGGGGAATTGAAGTTTATGTGAACACGTCGTTCAGTCAAGGTCTTTTGGCAGCAAAGATTGTCAGCTGTTAGTGGTATATAAATAATTTCTCCTACTGAGTTTGGGTTTGTTTTTTTTTTTACATTTGTTTTAATGTACATTTTGATAATTCTTACTTTTCCTTTCTTATTCAGTATGTGTTCAGGACCAAATCCTTTGAAGAAAGGACTGTTCATGAGGAACTGGCCAAGAATATGACTGGTCTCCTGAAGCTGAATGATCAAGTAACAGTGAAACAGGTTTTAAAGGTGAATGATAGCTTGAATTAGCACATTTGTGGTTTTACTGCTGGTTTTCTGCCAGCAACTCACTTGTCACATCTTTCTTCTCTGCTCTTTCTCTGTATGGGCTTTGCACAAATCAGATCCTGCAATGATTCAACAGAACAGACTTATCAGACTTGCTACAGTTTCTCAGCGTAACACGTTTCTCAGAATGCCATGGTTTGCATAATAAAATTTCTCCTTTCTGTTACAGCTCAGTCTGCGTCAGAAACCTAATTCTTACACAATCTGATGTGAGCAATTACTTTTAGGATACTTTGCATTAGTTTTTATTTTGGATGATGCAGGGAGAAAATTCATCTGTATGAATGTCCATTCAATGTCTTATGTCCAAACATACATAAGACATGTATGTTTGATTTCAGCTACTGGCTTTGACTGACAGTGACCGAAATGAGAATGATTGAGTTTTCCTGAGATTTCTCATGTCAAACCAGGTCTAAGAAACTCATACACGAGCAAGCCCTATCACTGAGCCTGTCGGTTATGGTATAAGGGTTAGCCAGTCCGGCTCAGGAGTGCCCAGTGGCAAAAACATAGACTGTTTAGAGTGAATCAGTTCCTCTTTCCTCTGTTCAGCCACTGGAATAGCAGCAATAGGCTGAAAAAAGCAGAAAAGTTGACCTGCAGGAAACCTGGGCCATGCAAAAGGACTTGTGGTTGGGTTTGGTATGAGGGGTTTTTGCAATATGTAAGCTTTTTGAGTGTATTTGTTTCAGGTGTCTCCCGAGATATGTTCACTACCTGTTCACTCTTACAAATAGTATTTGAAGAACCACTCTGTTTATCTTTTAAACAAGTACCATCTTATTCCAGACTAAATTACCAATCTGCTGGAACTAACAAAGCCATTTATTCTCAGCTTCTGTTCTCTGAAGTTCTTTGCATCACGCACTTCTGCCAGTTACCTGCAGAAAAAGAACAAAGACAGTGCTGGCCAGGATTGGGAGGATTGTGGGAGTGATGTCTGTGGGCTCCTTATTGCACAGAGCCACAGTGACAAAGTGCCCCAGATGGCTTCAGCTCTCTTAAGGCCATGATCCAGTGTTATGGAAATACATGGCACTTAGGCTCTTCAATTAATTTGTTGAGTTTATCACTGTTCATTCCTGAGAAGTGTAATCCATCTGTAAGGAATGGTAATGCACTGCAAAGAGTTAAACAGATAATAGTTTTCCCTAATCTCTTTTTTCCTTCTTTTGAACAGCATTCCTGGTTCTTCTTTGCAGTTATCTTAAAATCAATGGCACAGCACTTGGTTGACACAAACAAAACAAAAGTAAGTATATGTGTGATCTCAATTAAGTAGGCAGTTGGGCTCTTAGGGAAAACATAAAATGCAGAGTCTTGGAAAATACATGTACTTGGATTTTTCTTCTTGACAGTTAAAAAAAGAAATGCTGTTATACTTTGCAAAATACTTGTTTTACCCATAAAATCACTGTATTCCCTGCTGGGCTCAAACCTATTCTTGCTTGTACAGAACTGGTGGGCCAAAAATACGGTTGCATCAGCTTTGTAATGAGTGGTTTAGAAAGGAATGATAATTCTCTAATTTCTGCTGCTTACCCAACAGGTGATCATGCCAGATAGCAAATGAATGATCTAGAAACTTTACCTTGCTTTGAGCAAACTTCACATAGCTGGAGATCAGTGCTGTGACCTCTTTTCTTCCTGGCTATCAAAGATGCTCTTAGTATACTTGTGCTGGAATCTGAGGATAAGATTTCCCACTTTTCTATGGACTATATTCTTTCTTTTGAGGTTTATACTCAGAGTAGATCCATGAAACTCTAGGAATGCTCTTCCTCTCTGTTGAATGGCCTGTGTTTTATTGTATTTATTCATGGCCAGAATGTATTTTCTGGTTTAATGTGCAACATTTTGCACTCTCAAGTGATGATCTATTCCCTGCTTAGGTTTCTCGAACTCAGAGGTTTCCAGAGTCATTTCAAGCTGAGCTGGATACACTTGTGATGGTCTTAGCAGACCATGTTGTTTGGAAGTATAAAGATGCTCTTGAAGAAACCAGGAATGCAAACTACAGCACTGCCAAATTTCTCAAGGTGAGATGTTCTGTCATTACAGCATATGCGCTCACGTGCCCATACTTAATGCAAACCTGAGGCCGTTCTAGTCAAATAAAGGAATAAAAACAATTCTGGGTGAATGATGGCTCAATTTCCAAGCTTACTGTTGATCTACAGTTCAGTTTTTCTGTGCACTCGGGTCCTTGAGAATGCAAAAGCTTTATCTACATCTGCTATAAGGAAATCTGATTAATTTATATCTATTCTCTGAAAAAGCCCAAGTTTTCAGATTCTGGTTCTTACATTACATTCAAATGGGTAAAAAAGTTGGTAAGGAATGAGACCGTAGTTACAGTTGAGGTGCTATTTTTTTTCTTTAAATACTTTAGCTCTGAATGACTGTGGGTGGATTAATATTTACTAATGACAACGAGAGTAGGCAGCTTTTACAAACCAGACTAAGCACACTGCAAACATTATGTGAAATACCGTCGCCCAGCCTTTTAACTCTGTAATTCCCTTTCATTTACCAAATACAGGAAAATATATGCATGCGTCAGAAAAGTCACTAAAAGGAGTTGCATTTTTTGGTCTTGTCCTAATATTTCTCAATCGTCTTTATTTTCCCAGCATTGAATTAGCTGTGGAACATGGGAAAATTGCCATTCAGTCAGTTGTGTGGCCAGACACTTAATCTCACTTCAAATTGGGGATGCACACACACGCTTTTCCAGTAGGGGAATGATACACATTAATGATGTACAGAACATTGTACATAGGACAAACTGAGACCCCAGCTCAGGTCTTTTATGACAAATGGAAGCGCGGCATTAGGGGCGAGCCGTATTGCAGCGATAAAATGTTCCCGTGTGGTTGTAAGGAAAACCACCACAAACTGAAGGTGGATTTTTCTTCTTTTGCATATAGGTGAAATAAATAATAAACTCGCTGTCCCCCATGTCCTCTGTTGGCAATACCATATGGAAGCCCTCATTGCTGTTGGCATACTGATGTTAAGCTGTATCTAGCCATAGTGTTACGTCATTTGGAAGATGATGCTGGTTTGAGCAGGAGCATAGATGGAGGGGCTTAGTCAGTAGTGGTGTGGCACCTGTGGAGGTGGTGCAGATTCATATGCTACTTCTCTGTGTTACTCGTCTAAGCTGGGAAGATGGTAATGTTGCATTGTATGATATGGCATATGGCTGTGCTTTCATTTCTTTTCAAATCTAGTTTGCCAGAAAGGATTGCATAGAATCACAGAACGGTT